ATAGTAGTCTAAAAACCCAAAACATTCTACAATAACACAGTCATCTGAGTTTGCGCAGCGTCCGTGAGACGAAATCATGTTGCTCAGGTTCAAGAAGTGAAACTTAGGGTTGTAACTTAGTGTATCGTTTGTTGATGCATAACAATTAGGACAAGAATCCCTCGGTGAATTCGAGTCAGGAATGAAATTCGGAGACACGTTGAGTTTATATACATCTGAGAAATAGAAAACTTGAGTTTGTTGTCATTACGCTTCTAAATTAGGGGATAGTTCATCTTAAAGGGCGGATAAGTCAGTGTATTCTGTAGAAGGTGTCATCATTTCAAAACCCACGAAGTTATGTGAAGTCCAGGAAGTTTATAAACACAACCAAAATTAATTAGTTTCCAGAATTTGAACAGGTTTTGGAAGAAATGTTCTACTGGCGAGTAAGCGTTGAAAATATCAAGTAGTTCTAATAGCTTGTTAAATGGTTATCCTCGAGTTCAGTCTCCCTTTAGAATACGGGTTTCCAATTTAGTAAACAATTTTGAACTGCCAGTACACAAACTACAGAATTTAGAAACGACTTTCTTGAGTAAGGAGAGTAAGTAAGGTTAGGAAACCACGAAATGCTGTTCGTCCCCAGTTGTAATTAGTTCTTTTTTATCTGTTGTTGACTAATGTTCGAGAGGTGGTAGATGTGAGTTTATGCCTTTGCAATTACTTGTCATCTGTTGGGGGTGTGCGCAATGACAAAGACGTGGCTAACCGGTTAGACTATATCCTCAAAATGGCAAGTTTTTAACTTGATGAATGAGTAAGGATATGTTCAGAAGTATTTAGATCTATTCTACTTTATGATAGAGCTGCCGTTTCAAGACTATAAACCTGAAAATACTTTCTAGAGCTTGTATTTTGAGTTTATCCTGGAATGCAGTGTTTGATTTATTTGTCTTTAAGACCGATAAGTCAAAATATCTAGCGATCCGTGGCAAGGATAGTCAGTCGGGGACGTTTAAAGCTTATCTCTGTCATGGAATAAATACTAAAATAGTGTGATCAACGTGGGGTTCCTTTATCTACTTTCTGTTTCGGCGTATTATTAGACTGTATTGGTTTGTACATTCAATGCAAGCTAACTGCATTTCGGATATCCATAGTCTTCTTATCATGGGTCTATAAAGATATTAGCCTTCTGAGGTAAACGTAGCAGACTCAGTTTACGTAGGTTTGAAGTACAGCGATAGTGATTCTAGTACATATAGCGAATGTCTGCACTTTATGAGCAAGCCAGAAGATTCCTGGCTGATTATTGATAATGAGCCGTGACTCAACCATCGTCTCTAAAAGATAATAGGAACGAATGACTTTTAGATTGAGTGCATCAAGTGGTTTCCAATATACATAAGTCAATAAAACGGATGAAGTCAAGATCCGATGATCGGATTCTATCAAGTGAAATGAGGAAAAAGTCTTTGCCTGTTTTCGAGACTCAAATACACCAGACTATCGATAGCGTGTAATGATCTTTGTTTACACAATTAATGTACAGAATCATATTTTGATAAATTTACAATTACATACAAAATTTTCCTATTCAAATATCTAACTAAATTGATATTGGCCTCATTTGGTTCGTAAGCGCAAAGCTATTTGATATTTTTTGCCCGACCTCGAAAGAGTTGGACGAGTTGCATCAAATAGTGTTACTTCTCAATGATATTCTAAATGCCATTATTATGTTTGACTTTCATTAATGCAGTTTAGGTGGACTTGTTTAATATGAAACAACACTTAAATCATCTAACCGACTAGTTTAAACAAGTTTAAAAACCTGATTTATCGATGTGATTGAACAAACACAGAATGTTTGGAAGCTTTAGGGACTTAAGGTAAAGCTTGGTCGGTGGATGATAGACTTTAGAATATCTCAGTTCGAAATCACGAGTACCACTTAGTTGCTCAAATAATTATTTGCTCAGGCATGTGAACTTCTTATGGTTGATTGTACTGGCATAATCATTGAGCTCATGACCGAGAAACGTCTGAAAATTAGCGTCATTGTCAGGCCTCAGTGACTAGTACGACGTTGGACGGAGGCCATATCATAGTTTATTTTAGTTTATTTTAAAAGTATAATTTCGATGAATTTTATAGGATTACAAATAAGGTTGATCACAACATGCACCAATCCAATCACAATTGACGGAAAAGATTTGTAAGATGTAAAATTCTTTACATATCTGGGCAGTATCATTGATGAACATGGTGGATCTGATGCAGATGTGAAGGCGCGGATTGGCAAAGCAAGAGCAGCATATTTACAACCGTGAAACGTCTGGAACTCAAAACAACTGTCGACCAACACCAAGGTCAGGATTTTCAAAATAAATGTCAAGACAGTTCTGCTGTATGGGGTGGAAACTTTTAGAACTACGAAAACCATCATCCAGAAGATACAATTGTTTATTAACAGTTGTCTACGCAAAATACTTCGGATCCGTTGGCCAGAAACTATTAGCAACAACTTACTGTGAGAAAGAATATACCAGATCCCAGCGGAAGAAGAAATCAGGAAGACTGTCTGGAAGTGGATAGGCCCTACATTGAGGAAAGCACTCAACTGCGTCACAAGACAAGCCTTTACATGGAATTCTCAAGGCCAAAGGAGGAGAGGATGACCAAAGAACACATTTAGCCGGGAAATGGAAATAGACATGAGAAAAATGAACAAGAATTGGATGGAAGTAGAAAAGGAAGCCCAGAACAGAGTGAGTTGTAGAATACTGGTCGGCGGCCTATCCTCCATTAGGAGTAAAAGGCGTAAGTAAGTAAGTAACTTTGAGGGTTCCAAAGAAGTGAAAAAGCATAGGGTGGTGTGCTACTGGACACTTATATTTACCTTAGTATGTTTAAAAATGAGAGATTTTACAAAGGGAGACAACAGTACAAATGGACTGTCAGGACATGAAGACAAAAAAAGTACCTAAAATATTGATTCAAAAATAGGTGATTCAAAAAGTATATGACTACTCATCATGTGTAAAATAATTGTAGGCGGCCTGGGAAAAATATGCAAATCAGGGTGTAGTAATCGTTCGTGAAAAGTGAATTCTGAATGGATAACCACTTGAAAAGGTTTACACCGTCCACATAATTGAAAACACATGTGCAGAAAAAAAGATGTGTCGACTAAAATGGCTGATTTATCAGGGATGTCTGAAAGTTTAGTTTCTTAGATGGTTCGAATGAGCGTTAGCATGAAGTTTATGATTGAATATCTCCGCTACCAAACAATATAAATTCGAATGATTCAGTATCCCATAAGTTAGCGCAAAGTATGAGATGACACACTGTTTCACATTAGTGTATATATATTATTGTACAGTTTATTAGAACATTTACTGTGTTTCTGAATAGTTTGCACTGAAAAGTGTCAAACAGCTGGTGTTATTTGCGGTTACGCCTTATCCAGTCACCTTGGTAGGCATCGTGGTTAAAGAATCATTTATCTTGCCGCGCTTATTAACCAACAATTTGACTATCATTTATTAGTTGTGCTATCGTCTCAAGTCTGATTCCGGCGATTTGTCTTTAGTTGTGTGTTAGAATTAGGTTGAGTCCGTAAGTGTACGTTGAAACAGCGAATATTATATGGAGACTGATCACTTACAGGTGCTAGTGGGAATTTTGTGATGACCAATAACGTTGTGTGGTGTTAAATGAATTCCCAAAATAAATACCTATGTAAGCTTTGGATATTTGATGCTGACCGCAATAATTTCAGCAAACTCAGCTATCTGAAGGCTATCGATCATGCTTCTGCGCCAGATCACGAGTTAGCGCTCAGCGTTTCGTTTCTCCTACAACCGCTTCAAGCCAGCCATGATTCGTCACTTTTCGATATATCGATATTCTATGAAATAAATCTTCGAGTCTGTTCGCTTCTAACTTTTGATTTGACTGGATTGGCATGTTTCCATTTTAAAAGTTGTTGCTGGTTAAGGTGTTTTTAAACTTAAAGTACTTGCGGCATCTTTAGTTGTAAATACGAGATCAGTACAACCTAAGGGCATGTGAGTTGAGATATACATATTTACGAGCTGCAATGGAAGAGTGCTACAGTTGGACCCTGTTGAAAGGACCAGAACTGAGGTCAGCTTCAGATCGCACGTGGTTCTGCCCTCATCCTTTGTCGAGAAAATAGAATAATTATAGTGAGTCAGTTGTGTAAAAGCTAAGTTACACTGACGGTTGAAGGTGAATGACTTAAGCTGGGTTAGTATGAATATTAAAGGATCTGAGGCTAAATATAACAGTGATAACGATGAAGACTTTTTAAGATGGAGACCTGGGTACAGACACTAGAGAGTAAGCCTTCAGGCTAATATATCTCAGAAATTAGGCCGTATGCTCACAGTGTTTAGCACTGGTAGGGTTAATAGGGAAGTGAGGTGAATTAATGCTGTTGAGACAAACATCAATATAGCTGAGAAAAGCCAGATGCAATAATAGACTGTGCCTTACAGTTAAGCTGCAGAGTCATGTTTAGGTCAGCAAATCACCGTTCAGTGACAAATAAGCGTCAGCGAGCAGTCGTGTGGGACGAGTGAGACACGCAGATGCAATGCTGTAAGCCACACCACGTCCGTCTAACTCAGTTGACTGGTGATGAATAAGTGTATCTATTTTTGTCTGTGACTTTTTTGCACCTCTTCTGTTTCATCTGTTGTTGGTTTTATCTAGCTAAGATGTAACCAAATATAAGTGGTATTTACTAAATAGATAACTAAAAACATAGATATATTCCATCAATGTCTTCAAAAAAATCATACTGCTAGATTACTTCGTGTATCGGAACATCCGGTATTTCAACTCTCTTGTGGAATATCAAAGCTTGTTTAAGTGCGCAGTTTGAAGCAGATTGTCTACACCTATTCGATCGTTACTATTGAATATCGTGCTCAAGGGAGAAGTATTTTGCTAAGGGCGACTAATTTATTAACTACAAAGTTCACATGTATCAAAAAAGTAAACCATGGGCACTGGTAAAGCATCTATATTAAAATGTAGTTTATTGAAAAATAATTTAGTTCAGAAATACAGATAAAAGCGAGTATTGCGCATTATTCATGGCAGTTATTTTCGCTACAATAGTTGGAGCTTTACTACCCGTTCATTCTCTTATACTGAAAAGTGTAGTGAATGACTTCACCGGGGAAATTTTTCTCAAAGAAAGCATCTATGTATATTCTAAATGGTTTGCTCTTGTGGGTGTTACAGTGTTATTATTAGCATTCGGTCAAGATTTATTGATCAATTTGTTCACAATCAGGCAAATTAACCGAATTCGTTTGCTGTATTTCAGAGTAATGTACTTTTTCCAGTCTTTTCAAATTATAAATATTTCGGAATAGTTTTCTCACCGAAATTTATTGTTCATTTCAGCTGATCTTGATTTAGTATCTAGGTTGACGTTTACTTTGAAATCAACGAATGGTTATTTTTTTCAAACGAATTCATAAGGGTTTTTATATCAGAGATTTCTATATGCTAGTATATAATTGACAAGTCTACTGTTAGTCAAGTTATAACTTTTTTTAAAATTCATCTACTAGCTTCAACCGTTTTCAAGTTCACTCAATACATTTGAGAATGGAATAAACGGCTGAGAGCAAGTATCGAGGTATATTATTGCTTTTTGTAACCATATGTCTGTCCTAATTCACCTACATGGTTTACTTGGAGAGAAAGAACTACTTACAATGAATGAAAGTGAATGCTTAATAAATGAACATGGTTTATTATCGTAAAAATACTTCACAACACGTTTGTTTTTGTAACAGATATTTAATCTATCTTGTTATTTACATCAATGCTAGCAGTAAGTCGACTATGTTTTTTACTATTTTCGTTTTCTGGAGCATTATGTTACAGGAATCATTGCTTATATAAAACATATTAGTATTAGATGACGTATTAATAAGCAAGAATTATAATCTGGATGTAAACCAACTAAAATCGTGTCTCTCATACCAAATGCAACTCAAAATGAATTCATTTTTCATGTTAATCTTTATGAGCTTGAAGAAAGTATGTTTATTTAACTGCTTCTTGAAAGTTGGTTTCATTTTCTAAACTACACTGAATGAGCAACTGTAATAACAACATATGTTTTTTAGCGCATTCGAACACAGAATTGGTATTGTATAAGGAATAACTAAATAACACCACATATAGTTCTGAAGTTCATAATCGATTAGACAAAATTTAGTGTTCGTGACTATTCATAAGCCAGCAAATTGACTGTCCGGAGGACAGAGTACTGAAACTTTTATTGTAGCCAATTAAAGGTCATATAGAAAATTTTGCGACGTGGTGATCTAGTCCTTTCGTTCAAGAATCTCTCAATTCTCATTCGGTAGTTATGATTGAATAATAAGAAGCTTACTGTTACGTTAAATGTATTTTGAACACATTTTATCTTATTGCTTAGCCTTATGTCAAGTGTTTGGTTGGAAAATATCAGTAAGAAAACTAGGCTTATTCAAACCAGTTAGTATAACCTCAAGCTCTATGAACAACTCACGATGACACTGTAGAGGCGTGCAGAAAAACTAGTGTTTTAGCAAATGATAGCAAACGTTTCTGAACAAGCTTAAATGTCGGAATGCAAACTCGGTGAGTTCTGCTTTGTCTGGAAGTAAAAATTTGTGCTTTAAATAACAGGCATAAAATTTTATGGTTATTTCTCATATAAGTAAATTTCCGGGTATTTAATATGTCAATCTGTTTAGATTTGATGAAAAACATTACCAACTGTTATTTTTCAGAGCATTTTACGCCAGGACGTTGCATGGTTTGATGAACAGTCATCTGGATCACTCATCAGCAAACTATCTCATAACATTGACAACATTCAACTAGGGCTGGGTTCAACATTGACTGACTTCATGAAAAACTTGTCTGGATTCATAGTAGGCATTATAATTAACTTTGCAGTGGGGTGGAAACTTGCCTTGGTTGCTTGCGCTATACTGCCCATCATTGGTGCAGTTTTTGGATGCTTTGGGTTTCTGATGAAATACTTCACCCGTAAGGAAATAGTTGCATACACACGCGCTGGTGCTGTTGCCGGCGAAGTCCTAGAAGCTATACGCACCGTTGTTGCGTTCGGTGGAGAGAAAAGGGAGTTGAAAAGATACCGTGAGCAACTGGGAACAGCAGAAAAAGCTGGGCTGAAGAAAGTAGTGGCATCAGGTGCAGGTAAGTACTGGCATGTGTAATAACCACAGAACTTGATTTGTTGTCGTCTGAAAAGATTTGCAGTTGTTAATCTGTTCAGCTAACATGTTCAGTTCAGAAAAAACGGTTATTTTAAGAGTTGAATTGCATATCTTAATCGTAAATATGACAATATTTGGATGCAGTATCTGCTCTCACTGTCCTCACTTATAATCTGTCCTTTTGAAGAATAATGTGTACTTCTTTGTATGTATTACAGACAGCAAATGTCAGGCATTCGATAATTTAGATAAATGATGCAAGTATGAGGTAAAAATATTTTGATGAGATTACAGCCTAAAATATGCATGGTTTCGTCTATCCTTTATAACTAGATTGTTGATAGTGCAGTGGTGTCCATTAGCATTACTGTTTGTTAACTGCAGTACGAAAACAATATCAAAAGTCAAACGTTTCACTGAACAACCTGATTAATCTATCGTGTGAATTCATAGTGTCATCAACAGATCAATTTTGTTGGATCGTATGACAATTGGTAGTATTCGAAATAATGTATTGACTAAGAATTGCAGAAATAGTGCAATTCAAGTCAGGTAGAACTAGATTACCACAAATGAACGTACTATATTTGAAATTCGTAATCAGCGCGCAATCAGGTAAAAAGGAATCAACAGTGAGTACAAATACCACAATTGTCATTCAGAGAAGGATACATAAAAGTTGACGTAACAAGAATAAGGCTTGGGCAAACTAGTGTGGACTCAATTTATTTCAAGCAATTAATTCTTCTGATGGTTTTGTCGCTACGTTCTCATCAGTGTATTATAGGCACCCTCATTTTCTAATCAGAATTACATAAAAGTTGGCATAATTATGCAAGTGAAATTCGTAAGAAGTCAATATTTTCTGACTTTCTTCGAATCAAGAAACGAACGATGCTCAAGTATATTGAGGTGTTATAGGTTCGTATATTTCTAACTAAAAGTAGGTACTCCACGTCTATGAAAGTTTTCGGAGAAAACTTTACAGAATAATGAAATTATTCCCAAACCACTTAATCGTGCACATTTGATGGAGGAAATTTTAATTTTAGTGGTTTGCAATAAAAAGGAGAAGCGAATGTGTACATGTTATGCAGTTCAATACTGTACTATGAATTAACGACTTGTGATTTTCCCTACTTTTAGTTAATGGGACAATTGGACTGACTGTGTTTTGTTCTACTGCGTTACTATTTTGGTATGGCTTTAAATTAATAGTAAATGAAAATTATGACGCTGGAGCTATTGTGACGGTATGTAATCTTAGTTTTTATGCCAAACAGTGATTTGCCATAAATCTCGAAATCTACTATGGTAAGATTAAGAGGGAGGCATTGTAAGAATAAGTTGTTTAAAACAACATCCTGATTCCAGTAATTAGTGAAGCAATGTGCTTGGCATTTAATTTACACATCATTAAATCCCCATACAATATATTGAATGGAAACACCATTACTCTGGAATGTTTGCATTTCATAAAGTTTTTGAGTTATCATTAGAGATGAAAATATGTCATTTCTAAAGTGGACTAAATTTTGAAAATATTGTTTCTTAATAATCACGAATTCTTAGTCCCTTAATAAAACAATTCATATGGTCCAATATTTTTGGTTCTTAAGACCAAATTAATTTCATTACCTTTGAATCTCATCAGGTAGTCCGGAAAAAAACAACCAAGGAGTTTGGCAGTATATGTTTAGCAAATCAACGTAGCCCGTTGATTGTAAAATAAATAATTATAGTTGTTTGTTATAATTCACGAAACAGTAAACACCTGCACTAATTATTTTCCTTATCAGTGTCAAATCAAGCTACCTACATAATAATCGTTATGATAAATGTATGTGATGTCCAATGTATAAAATCAATCAGTACTATAAGTTTGTTTAGTGAATCCATATCTCAAAATACATTCTTCCTACGCTCTATTTTTTTTACCGGATGACAATTTTTTACTGGAAAAAGTAAATATTTGAGCAATGTATTATTACCTTACAGAGCTGAAAATCTTACGAAAGATTACATTTCATCTTTTACATTTATAATTTACGGCCATTACTTTAGGTATGGTCGATGAATTATTCGACTATAATCTGATGAGAGAATCGTTTAATGCTTGTATTTAAAAGGTAACTGCATGTGTTGTAAGAAGAAACGAGTGAGAATTCAGAATTGAAAATGATCGTTCAGTATATTCATCACCTGTATATCTTAGTAACACGTCAAATTGAGGCTTCTATAGTTTTCACTCATTATTGTTATGCCTTTCCAGATTTTCGTGAATGTTCTTTTAGGAAGCGTCTTTCTGGGTAACGCTCTACCAAGTTTTCAATATTTTATGAACGCACAGGCGTCAGCCACTGAAATTTACAGTATTATCGAGCGTGTGAGTTTGTCCCACAACCTATCTTGTAAAGTTGTTTAGATGTCATTGATCAATTGTTTTATGATAGCTTTATAAGAAATATTCTTTTAAATGCTCACTGGTCATTCATTTGAGAAATATTGAAGAAATATTTCCTCGTCTACAATTTCAAGCTTAAATTAATGACGGTAACAAAGTACAGTCTTCGAGATGAAAGCTACTATTATGTCGCATTTACAATAATATAAAATGGGGAATAGCCTACTGATTATTAACGTTCTTCAGCACTAGTAGATCGAAATAGAAACTTTGATTGTTGAAAGTAAAATGCACGTCGATTGTGATTACTTTTGTTCTGTGAAAGGGATTGGATTTTCTTTTGGATGTCTGACAACGGAAACAGTAACCAACACTACAGTAACTCCATATTTGGAATTGTGATAAGACTGGAGTTCACACTTTAAGGATATCTACATCTGTTTCGAAACAACCTCTTTTGTGATGCTAAACATTTGTAATTGTTCAAAACACAGAGTTTGTAGAAAATGTAGTTACGGTCCTGTGTCACAAATACAAAAACGGTGTGGGATTATATGAGATCGCAGCAGAAAGTTGGTGGGACAAATAACGAAGACATGCGTGTTATGAATAGAACAATGTTTGGTAATTTGTTACTTCACAAAAGTCTTTAGATAACAGTTACTGATGTTGATATCCAGTGCATTTAAAGTACGGATTACCAGATAATTGATTGTGGAGTTCTGCTAGGCTTTTTGAGATATTCCTGAACTTCAATGATATAGTGTTCTAAATTAATGAATTTGTTTGTAATTTCATGCAGCATGCAATGGAATTGAATTGTTTATCATTTTTATATCTTTTACTTCCAGGCAAACTACCGACATATCATTCATATTTGTTGTAGATTGTTAGGAAGCCACTAACTACTTTATACCCACTACTTTATTTCAGGTCCCGGAAATTGACAAAGACTGTCACGGAAGGCTCATTCCGAACTTTTCTGGGAACGTCACATTCAGAAATGTTTCTTTTGCATACCCAAGTCGACCAGATATTGCAGTGAGTAAATCAGAATATCTGCTAATGTGTCAGTTTAGTAACTTTCAAAAAGTTTCTGAAGTAAGTTGTCCTGGATGGAAAGATATTGAAAAATATGTTCTTCCAGATTCTGTACTGTTTTAGAACACCCAGGAAGTGATCAAACATAACTACACTATTAGTTTTTCTATAAGATGTTTGCATAAATCGCACGTTGGATGTATGGACATGTTTTTTGACATAATATAATTGTACACCGTCTTGGGTACTCTTCAGCTGAAAACACATCACTCATTAAGTCAACATAAGACCTGAAGTTTATTGATATGCTTTAGTGTCTCATCGCTTTTTTTCAGCCAGTGGTTATACATGATTTTTTGGGAAATTTTAAAGAGATACAAGTGAAAAGATATCTGGGTTTCTATACTAAACCGATCTCAGTATCACCACTCGGTCTATGCATACCTATATTGTTACATTAACATGACGGTAAACCAGTGACAGGAACAATCGTCTCGTGAATAGCTTTTCCTGCGTTTTATTTATAGGTGTCATTTCATAAATTAGCATAGATTATTTCCTGTATTATTTAATGAACAACGCCAGAAATATACCCTTTCATCGTTTTACACTGGTTGGCGATAAGAGTACATGAGATGTCAACGAGAGAACGTTTATCCCTTTACTTTTAAATGCAATTCAGTTTTACTCAATTTCAGTGCACCGTCTGGTATATACGTGTGTACTAACTCTACTTTGTAGGTTTTAAAGAATTTTAGTTTAAGCATCAAAAGTGGGCAAACTGTGGCATTGGTTGGACCGAGCGGTTCAGGGAAAAGTACCGTTGTTCATATGTTGCAAAGATTTTATGACCCAACGAAAGGCGAGGTATGCAGTAATTTGAAGTAGTTTCATTTTGATATGTTTTTACAGGTTTCATTAGAAGATGTATCTATTCGGTATGTGTGCTTTCTAAACAGGGGTGGTTACTTCACACTCTGACAATGAGTTTTACAACTGAAATGTTTTATAAAATTGAGACACGATTCATCTCATTAATCCATATAATTAGAGGATAAAAGACTTATCCAAGTGACTAATGCGTTTCCACTAATAAAAATGCCTATCCACGGTAATGAAATTTCATGATTTGTTTCCTGAAGCGATCTAAATACATATTCTGTAATAAATTACTCATCGATAGTTGAATTAGTTGGCCATTTTCATTGAACAACACACATGTTTTCATTTAGATCGTCATTAGGATTTGCTTCAGTATTTAGCAGTGCTTTTGTGTGTATGTGAAAAACAATAAGCCGACAAACGGAGTTTATGAGTCAATTATAACAATAAAGTAGACTACATAGGCAAAAGTACAAATTAATGATTAGCTGATAGGTGTATTAGTAATAATAAGAATAGTGATTTCGATAGAAGTATGAATCAGCGTTTCAATACTGGTTGTAGGTCAAAACGTGAGAGAATAAGTTTTGAGATTAAAGTCAACAAAACTAAATAATAATAATTAAAACACGAATTTCAGCGAAGGGATCTCTTTTCAACGAATTTATTATCAAGCTGTACAATCGTATATATATGAAAAATTTTTTGATTTTGTAAAAGTACTAATTCCGTGAGGAAATGTGAACACAGTTAATAAAAAGGTTATAATAGATTACGTAATATGAATAATAATTATTAATATTATTTTCTTCGTAATTTCTTCAGTACACTGCTCCGACTACTGTGAAACCACTCTTTTGAATTCGGGCAAAATTTCTGACAAGATTATTTTATTTTGTTTCGTTATTTAACTACCGGTATGCAATTTTAGTGTCACCGTTAATCTAAACATGCATTATATTTGGTGTTTTAGGTACTAATCGAGGATGAGGACATCAAGAATCTGGACCTGAAAGCTTATCGTAATCAGATAGGCTGTGTACAGCAAGAACCGGTACTTTTCAAAGGAACTATCAGTGATAACATAAGGTTAGGGAAGCTGGATGCAACTCAAGATGAGATAGAAGAAGCTGCAAAGCTTGCCAACGCTCACGGTTTCATTCAACAACTCCCAGATGTAAGCCCTCGCAACAATGTTGAAATTTAAGCCGTTTACCAGAAGTAATATTATCTACTCAACTAAAATTTCAACTGTTATCATTTTATGAATTCAGGGATACGACACTTTTGTGGGTGAACGAGGTGGTGGAATGTCAGGTGGTCAGAAGCAACGTATAGCAATCGCTCGAGCTCTGATTAGAAAGCCGAAGTTGCTACTGTTGGATGAAGCAACGTCCTCAATTGACGTAAAATCAGAACGTGTTGTACAAATGGCTTTGGATAGAGCGATTGAGGGGAGGACTGTGGTAGTTGTTGCTCATCGTCTTACAACAGTTCGTAATGCGAATTTGATAGTCGTGCTTGATAAGGGAGTAGTTCGCGAATCTGGGACACACGCTGAACTTGTGGCTGAAAACGGTCTTTATGCTGCGATGCTTAGTAATCAGGTACGTTCAAATTTCTCCAGACTAGTGTTGCTCAAAGCGTTTTGGAGTGTGCTTGAATTATTTTACGATAGATTATCATGATAAACTGGTGGATACCAATAACGAAACGTTTTATATGTTTATTTAGGAAGTGGCACATTTTTTAAAATTTTACTTTGAACATTTCATTTTATTGTTTGCATTTTAAACTAATATGGCTAAATTATACTAAGAATAGAGTGATATCTGTAAGCTATGTTTTTTGTGGGCGCGAAGTTTGTGTTGCACAGAAAGATAATCAACTATTAAATTAACTAAAACTACTATGCATAAGTTTTGAATTGAAACCCAACAGTATCGTTTGCAAAACTATGATCTGGTTTATATTAGTGCCATTATTGTTATTCCGCAACTGTTAATCTGCAACTGAAAGAAGTTTGAAGTAAATATGTTTTTTAAGATTGTGGTTAACAAATACCATCTTTGTTAATATTTAGGAAGAGAGTAATAACTTGTTGTGGGTTATGTAAGTTGACCATACTGAATTAAGAGTTTACCATAGGACTTGATTATTGTATTTGACACTTTTTCATAAATAATTAAACATCAAATATATTTCATTCAGAGAATATTGGAAAGTGCTGAGAACGATGACAGTGAATTATTGGATGAAGGATCTCGTAATAAATATATCGTCAGTGGAAAAGACTTGTTGACGAAATTAGACGATATTTGTAAAATGGATAATAGTGAGGATGTAAGTAACTTTGTTTTAAAAATTAAAATTGTTATTTTAATATGCTTGTTCTGCCGTAAAATGTTTCTCACGATCCACCCATAATTCAAACCGATTTCTCGTTTTTATTGAAATTACATTGAAACGTCATTAGCGAATATACTTTAAAATTGATTTTCTCACAAATTGCTTGAACTTATGTATCGTTTAAAGATTCCCCTCACTAAACAGGAAGTGATTGATTGTTACAAAGTGTAGTTGTAAATTCGAATATTCTTATGAAATATTGGATACTGTTTGTTTCTTCTCGATTTGAGGATGTTTGACCACGTACATCCACAATTTGACATGGTATTACAAACGTGTGTGTTTAATGATTGTGTAACTTTTGTCAGTTTTTGATGAAAATGATGTGAACCTAATATTTTCAAACACTATAGTTAAACATTGAGCAAACCTTTGAATAACAGTGGTCTGATGGAATAATAGTTGTAAGTAATCAAAAATAACACAATGTTCTTGAATACCACGTTCAAATGATTTCACATGTGTGCGTCATTTATTTCATTTGTTTGTGTAGAGTGTATCTGAAACCACTGGAAATGTTCCATACGGGAATTTTTCCCTTATTTCAACAATTTCGATTCTACGTAATCAAGTAAGTTTTATATTTAATCGAGTTTAGATTGATAATTACTATGATGTTTCAGTGTAATGTCAATGTGTAGTATTGGAAGTAAATGTGATTGGTCACTGAGTGTGGACAAACAGGCACTCGATTTACTATTAAATATTGCAATCTCCACGAGTTCCTACACTGATGTGATTTCTTTTCTACTTATTGATTTCCATGTGGTACACACTGCGAATGATGACTTGTAACTGTGTGAAATCAGTATTATCTATCGTTACTCTGGTTTTCTGTTCTTGGTTGTGAATTTTGTATCTGATATGTAATCCAGTCTTTGTTTTGTGTGTAGTGGATCGTTCAAGTATCCAATGTTGTGGTATTATAAACTCGGTCACACAGACCCGTCTTATTTTCATATTATTGTAATAGCGTAGTATACCTCAGAGAGATAAAAGTCTATATTCGAACGAGTTTTTTGTTTAAGCAATTTTGTTATTGTTCCTTTTGTCTGAGTTTTGAGGTTTCTGTACTGAAAGATTTCATATACTATTCTCTACAGGCCCTTGAATTGTACACCAGTAAAGGGAATGATTATTGTTTCCAAGGTCTTGACATTTTATGTATGAACATCAGAATAAGAAAGTTTCTGAACTATACTGAAATATATTCAGTACGCCTATTAGAATGATGCGTGACTAAGGTGATATGTGCGTTTAGCTATTCAGTTAGTATTTTGAACTATCTGCAGTTCACATTTTATTTCAGGCGATAGTCATTCCATTACAATTTTGCGATTATATAAATTATTTTATTCATGCAGATGTGTTACGGGAATCGCCAGTTAAGTATGATGACTAGAAGTAATCGAACTGATGCGCTAACTAAGAATTCTCAGAACGGTTCAATTTAAAGCTAATAGAACTCGATGAGGATAACTGAACGAATTTTATGTTTGGAATCGAAATTAGCCGTTAAATAAAATACAAATGTGCACGATTGAGTGGTTTGGGAATAATTTCATTATTCTGTAAAGTTTTCTCCGAAAACTTTCATAGACGTGGAGTACCTACTTTTAGTTAGAAATATACGAACCTATAACACCTCAATATACTTGAGCATCGTTCGTTTCTTGATTCGAAGAAAGTCAGAAAATATTGACTTCTTACGAATTTCACTTGCATAATTATGCCAACTTTTATGTAATTCTGATTAGAAAATGAGGGTGCCTATAATACACTGATGAGAACGTAGCGACAAAACCATCAGAAGAATTAATTGCTTGAAATAAATTGAGTCCACACTAGTTTGCCCAAGCCTTATTCTTGTTACGTCAACTTTTATGTATCCTTCTCTGAATGACAATTGTGGTATTTGTACTCACTGTTGATTCCTTTTTACTTGATTGCGCGCTGATTACGAATTTCAAATATAGTACGTTCATTTGTGGTAATCTAGTTCTACCTGACTTGAATTGCACTATTTCAAGAATTCTTAGCTCGTTAATTCGAATACTCCTAATTATTATATCTACTTCTTTCATAAGTAGGAATCGCACAGTCATTTTACGACTACGATACATCTGAATTATGGAAATATCATTAACGAAGTATTGTATATATTATCGAATTCCAAGCAGCTATAATTTATCCCCATTGCATGAAGTGAAAGGTAATAAAGAGTATCTTAATTTTACCAAAATCAGTATAGGGAAAACATTACCTATTTGCATAGGCCTACTGCTCTCAAGTGGCATATGAGGCGACCAGGAGTATCCAGCCAATTCTACCCCATGCTCTTCTTTCCAGATATTACCACGTTCTATTCATCAACTTGGTGCCTGTCTCCATCCCCGGCGTCATGTTTTCTTTATTCTATCTCGTTTCCTGTTCCCTTGTATGTTGTAGTGTGAGGCTTGCTTTTTGGTGCAGTTCAATCGTTTCCCCCCAAGTGCATTCTATTTACTCAGGAGATTTTTCTTAATTTTTTCTTCAACAGGTGATAGGTTTGTTGTCTGCCACAAAGGTTATTGCAGTCAGTCTCTGCAATGGATCTGAAGTATTTTGAGTCTGCAGCTGTTTGCATATATTTTTACTATTTGGTAATGATTTTAGTTCTTCAGGTTTCATCTATGTATAGCAAAACTTTTGACGTTAGTGCTGAGGTACAGTTGTTCTGAATTATGGATATTCAGTTGTAGGAATGTTACCCTTGTATTGTCAGTTCACGCATTGATATCTTAATCGGATTCTTCTTATTTACTGATGATACTGCTTAGGTACGTGAAGAATTCAATCTCTACCAAACTTTGTTATCAAATGTGATTTGTTTAATGCTCACTATGTCGTACTTCAGGATCTTGCTTTTCCAATTGTGTATGGTGGGCTTTACTGTTGTGGAAGCCAATGTAGCACTGGCTATTTTTGCCTACATTTGATGCTGTATACGACAAAGAAAGGTTTAGTAATCTGCAAAGTCCAAGTCATTTAATTACGTTCACGGTATCCACTGCGTTCCATGCTTTCCCGGAATTTGTAGGTTTTCATAGTCCAGTCAATAACTAGAGGAAAGGGAAGCGACAATAAACTAACAGCCTTCACTTGTAATGTACCCCTGAGCTACGCCCTATGCACAACTTTGTACTACAATCCGTCGTAAGAGTTGCGTGTGGTGGCGGCGATCTTTTAAGGTACTCCATAGTGTCAAAGACGGTTTCATAAAGTCCTCCTCTCCGTTCAGTCTAATGATTATTGTAATCTAGTATGCTGATATATGGTGATGAGTTTAATTCATTTTATTGTTCAGTAGTGTATACAGTATAATGATTCTGTCGGTTCATGATTTATCCTTATGAGAGATAGCTTGTTGATATGGAGAATGAGGGTCTACTCAATCGTTCGTTCGTTTCAGCAACTCTTAGTTGCGAACTTTGCCGGGCACTAACAACAGTGTGATCCTTCTGTATTATTCACATTTATTAGGATCTACTTTCTTCATTTTGATGAAGTATTGCATTTTTCGGTCTACTGATACGCGTTATTCCGCCCAAATCTTCCCGAAGAGTACATGGATCATCTTCGCAGTTACCTGTATACCTGATTTAGTGTCTTAGTTGGTATGCTATTTGCCCCTGCTATTTTGTCACTCTTGATTTGTATGATGTTCTTGCTATTTTCTTCGGTTGTTATTGTGATATCATTTTCAGAGACGCCCGTGTATGCTACTTTGCTTTCTCGGGGACTCACTGAGGCCGGTCTATTCAAGTGCTCTTCATAGCACTCTATTCACCTGACCTACTACTCATGAACCTCAGTAATCGGTTTGCCTTTCTTGATTTTGACCGGTCACTCCATCTTACTGTTCTCCTTCTAGGGTCTTCACTGTATCATATGGTTTGCTCATATTTCTTGATGTCATTTCCAGGCCTTCAGCATATTTCCTCTTGTCAGCTTTCATACTATTTTTCATTTGTTTTTTCGCTTCTGTATATTCAGCCTATGCCTTGACTTTCTCTGCTCTCCTTCTGCTGCTGTTGGTTATTGCCTAGGTTATCGATAGAAATTCACTTTTCATGATGTAGCTTCTTAGAGCTCAACATGTGACATGTTAAAGTAATTCATTAATCAATTCCCAGTTGTTCTCCATAGTGGTTTTCCTTTCTTTTGCTAGACCTTGTAAGGCTTGAAGCTGTTTGCTGAAAGTTGACTGAAACTTGCTAAGCTCTCTAACGGTTTGAAACAGCATTGTGCTAAAATTTCATAGTTCTGTTTGTTCAACTGCCAAATCTTCTCTTGCTTTGATATTAGCTTGGCTGCCATCAAGTGATGATCTAAAGTAATACCTTGTTTTCTATTTGTTCTTACATATTCAATGAACCTTCTGAATGTTTTTTGGCGCAGATGTGATCGATCTATTTTTCCTTGGTGTGATCAAAGGAAACTGATGTAGCTTTGCGTATGAATTTGTGAGGAGGAATTTTTTAACCCGTGATCATGTTAAAAAGACACAATTAACAGCCTCTTACCATTATCGTTTCCACTCCTCACTCCATGCTGTCCTATGATTCGTCCATGCCAAGCGGTCATCATCCTTATAAGGATAGTCATGGACTTTCCTGAGCATTTCTATAGAGTGTACTACATCTCACAAGACTGTTCTTTATCATCTTTACTAAAATCGTTTCTGGGTACATAACACCATATGATGTTTGTTGTAGTCCTTTCCTTCTTTTATTTGAAGAATGTGTTGGTTATCGTGAAAACATGGTTTTTCGTAATATAAGCGCTTTTTGTAAATCTGTGGATGGTATCAGCGCAATTGTTGTATATGTCGTACATTTTATTCTGGATGATTAGAATTCAACATCTCTCATGAGATTGGGCTTTTCTGTCCAGAATGTGTTCAATGAGGTCCACTTGTCCTAATCAAAGTCAGGATGTACCTTATCGTTTGCAAAGCTATTTGATCTTCTAGTTCTCGTACATTGTTCGGACACCATGTCCCTACATTATTTGTTGCCCCACTTGTCAGAACAGACATTGGCCTCGTGGCTTTCAAGGATTCGTGGTTATCACCGTGAGGCGTTATCACCCTTCTATATGAAGACCCTTGAACTACTAGAACAAGGTTTAAATATGGACACTTATTATCTTTGATGACCGTTTTCCTAGTGTGTTTCTTTTCTGGGATATGGATTTAAAAACCCTAATCCTAACTCTTTTATATACAATCTTGGGATCTGTGGTAACCTTAGAAGAGCTTCAGCTGGAGTTAGAACACATATACCTCAAGGAAAACAGACTTTATACTTTACCCTTCGTATCCGTTTCCGTATTATATAAGCCATCTTTAAAGAATTATATCAATTACGATGTTAAAATTTAAGTTAACAGAATTTTGATGTGGTTATGTGTAATGATTTTTCATTGATTTCAGTATAATACAATAAGGCAAATATACTTACTCAATTATTTTTTGTCCCTGAGCTATCGGGTAAACAGTTTGTCAACAAATGAGTTGTACGTCATGAAGCATAACTAGTGCATGATTCACTTCAACTTTTCTTTTTTCAGAAAAAAAATATCAAGCTTTCTCCGACATTAAGGGTTTTAAAACTTAATCGACCTGAACTACATCTGATAGTTTTAGGATGTATTTGCTGTGTGATTAGTGGGACCACTCAACCAGCTTTTGCGATTCTGTATACTGAAATGTATAGTGTAAGTACGCTTATAATTCACTGTTTGATTATTATTTGTTCTAGTAAAACCAAATGATTAATAAATTTTTATTCCAGCCCTAACTTATTTCGGTTGTTATTAGTTGTAATGATGAAACATATGATTGATATTTCATAAAACTGACATCATAAACCGTTTATCTCATAATAATCTAATTTTGTAAACATACGTATTTCTGGCTTAAGGGACTGACTAGTTTGGAGAAATGGATGAATCTGATGTCGTATGAATTAGTCAATGAACATAATTATTGAATGAGATTAAATGTTCACTGAGCGTTATTTGATATTGTCTGTTTCATACTGTGCATTCTCGACACAATTAGTAAAAAATACTTGAAAGTTCAAATTTGTTATTCGTATTTAAAGGTTGACGAAAACGAATAAATTAAAAATGCCATGGAAACTAGATAGAATAATAATTATGAAACTGGAATGCTCAAAATGGCGAAATAAATTTTAAAAGATTTTAACTATGTTTATACCGACAAATGCTGGTAAAGACACGTTTCCAGTTAATAGTTGTTTGAGAAGAGAAGAGTCTTCAACACTAATGTCAAGAGTGGTAACGTCATGGTTGCAAGCTGATAATAACAAACGAATTATTCTTTCTGTTGATAAGCATCGAGCTGGAGAGGATTATGAACATATTATTCCAAACGGATTTTCTGTAGACGTCTCTTTAACATCCCATCAGTTGTTTCCGTTTTAACGGGACAGAAAATGGAATTTCAGTCAGTTTTCGTACGCATGAATATGCAAATGAAATCATTCAACTTTGTAGATTTTTAACTAGAAAATCTAATCAGGACGATTTCTAGGAGAATCGGTAATCACTTATGGAAAAAGGATTATAATTTGGTTGTATAAAATACAATTAACGAAATCGGTAGTAGGTGACACATTATTGTAGAAACAAATGCAGTGATTAATAAAATAATATTTGGATCTAAATTCTTCGTTAAATCTTTCGAAAATGTGACTCGACCTAAAGAAATCAACAGAAATCTAGTATTGAATTGTCATAAAATATACGTTTTCGGATAAATGTGATGTTCTTCGACTGTAGTAACTCATTAAGGCACAAGAGTAATGCATCTGGATATAACAGGTTACTGGGCGTAGATGAAGTTGGTCTAATGTAAACCTTATGTAACAGGAAGCGGACAATATCCATGGAATGGGAGCACAGTCACAGTACAAGTCATCTCTGGTGTAATTAATAGTTGCGATTAATTTAGCAAATACAAATTTACCAAGAAAAATGTACATTTTTTGCTATACGCATATAATATTGCTTTTCTGGAGAATTGTCTACCAATTGCATTGTGTAATAGTAACACTTGTGAAATTACCCATTTTAGATTTTTCCTTTGCGATCTAATCCAGATCTGCTGTTTAGTCGACTCACTGTTGTATGTGGGATGATGGTGGTGATTGGAATTCTACGTTTTTTAGCTAATGTCAGTCAGGTAGTATTAAAAACTCAAGTTTTTGTATTCGTAGTTTATTGTGTTACGAATATTTCTTTTTATGTATGTTATATAACATAAATTGACGTAGATATTATTTTGTATGTTGAATGTCTGTGTCCGCATTCGTCCCATTTATTTTCTGAATTTAGCAGTCGTAGAAATCTAATTAAAATAATGTTTTTTTCTTAATAAATAGTTCAACGGTCACTTACTTTTATATGATTAATCCTGCAAGGATGACATCTTTAATATAGTGTTGCGTTTGGCAATAGAGGATGATGGATTTTTATTCTCTACTCTTATTGGGTCATTCTATTCTATTTTTCTCTGTAACCATTTCAGTACATGCTCACACACCCTAATTTTGAGATCATGATTACTCCTCCCTATGTATGTGTGACCACACACACATTTAAATTGGTAAACACAGTGTATGTGAGGTAATCGTTTTCTTGTCTTTTAGGTTTTTGATGAAGCATGAACCTTGTTTCCTTGATAATGACCTTTGCTGCATAATACGTCTTGTTAGTGACTGGTTTATTCCTTTTTTCAATAAAAGGCTATATGAATCATCTATAAGTGGTAAGGTGATGTAGACAGGTATTTTTTCTGCCAAGGCTGTACCATGAACTTTCCATCTGTTTACGAATTTAAGGGGATAGACATTTTGCATCAATGTTTTATTTAGCAACTCAACATATTTCTGATTATCAACGTCAATATTTTCGGTTTGACTACCTCTGGTTTGATTAGATTTAATGTTTTTTTAAACTGATTTGGAATCCAAGTATAATTTTATAAAACTGCATTGTTATAATACAACACAGTTCTGTGAAATTTAAATTGACTGAATTTTCCTTTGAGCTTGTACGTACGTCACATTTCAGTTTAATGTTACAGTGATTTTTCAAATCGCGTTACAAATTTCTTTGAATTTATGTAACTTAGCCGTTCTTTCAAGTGGAATTTAAACCAACTGATGAGTATATAGACAGGCCGACTAATATTTATACTTCTCATCTAATTATTTAGCATAACCATATTCATCAATGTTTCATATATGTAAGACTCAATAATTTACAGAAAAGTCAGGGAACCATGTTCATTTCTTCAAATTTGTTAATGTAATTGCATAATTGTATCCTCTCACGTTGGATGTTATTCAGCACAACTGTTTTGGATTTTTAAAAGATTGAACTAAAGTTACTAAAGATAACTTTTTTCATAGTACTTTGCATCTACACCAAAGTTATGTTGAAGCTTCTGGATCAGATCACTAGCAATTATGTTTCCAGAATGTTGATTGTCAACACCACAGCTTTTTATTACATTGAGGAAATTTATTTCCCTTTAAACTGGACATGTTATCCTGTATATAAATTCTAAAACAAGATTTGTCTTAACTGAATTGATCTTATTGGTATAATAGTTTTTAGTCATAGTATGAAATTAGAAACAAATTTATACTTCACAGTAGCCAAATCATAGTAAACTAATTCTTGGAGTGATTGTTAATAAGCTCATTTTTTAAAAAGCAAATAAAATTAACTTTAAATGCACATATTTTTTTTGAATTTATTTAGAGTTTATTTTTTGGAAAATCAGGCGGTATATTAGTTAGTCGCCTACGATCAAAAGTTTTTGAGAGCATGCTAAATCAAGTAAGTTAGAGGTGATTTTCTCGTTTCACATAATTACTTATATGTTTAATTTGTTCAAATAAAATGGTTAGAAATTAATGGTTCTACTTACTCTAACGTATTTTATTTAGGAAATAGGATGGTTTGATAAACCGGAGAACCAAGCAGGAGCATTAACTGCAAAACTGGCCAATGATGCTATGAAAGTGACAATGTATTCAGGTTCACAATTGGGTTTCATCATAGAAGCTGTAGCATTGATAGCTATGTCTTTTGTGGTTTCGTTTATCTACAGTTGGCAACTGACTCTTCTAATATTAGCCTTCTATCCACTTATTGTTATTGGAGGATTTTTCCAGGTAATTCGTTTCATTTGACAAGTATTTTAAAGGTTTTGAAAGATATATGTGACGGGGATTTCCATTGATGTTTACTAGAATGTTGAGATTAGTTCATGGTTGGTAGAGAAGCTGACTAAACTTCGTTATGATTATATGTTTAATTAAGTAGCAATAAATATATTTATATAATTTGATTAAAACTTCTAAAACTAAAGCAACACATTTTGAATAAGTGGGATCAATTTATATTCCATGAATCTACAATTTTACACAAGCATTATTTCATGTATTGTTAGATGAATGCTACAAATTGACATCGCATGTTCTGAATCCTTTACTGATTATTGGCCTATAAGTTGATTGGTTCTACAAAGTGTGGATTCTGTATCACTCATTATCTTTGTTAAAATAGACGTTCATCTGAGAATTTACTGATGATATATCACCTGGTTTTATCATCATAGATAGTTAAATATAATTTGTCAAATGTTCTTTATACATGCCAGTTATCATACGTACAATATATTCAGAGGCGTAATATGAAAATCATATCGTCAATATTTGTGACAGATTCAACCAATGTTGCTCATTCTTCATGATAACCGAGTATACGTCCACATCACAGAGAACATTTAAGTTGAGAGTTTGTGATAGCCTGCTCCATCCATTGAGCATACAAGTACCAAACTAAATGTGCGTTTTGTCTGACACATAAAATGCATTCAACCCTAACAACTGTTGACCGAACTAAATGGCTGATGTCATATATGGTTAGTCAGCACTTGTCATTTTAGTATGGATATGACTTGATGGGAGTTTGAAATACTTATACAAATTCATTTATTTCACCATCTTATCCAGATGCGAACACTTTCAGGAAGCAGTAATATTAAGAATGGTAATGAAGCAATGAGAATTGCTCAAGAGGTGACTGGCTCAAGCTACACAGTTACTGCATTTACATTAGAAGATTACTTCTTTAAACGTTTTGAATCTCATGCAGTTGAAAATCTGAAGTGAGTTTTGGAAAAAATACTCGTGACTTATATTGGGATTATTACAAAATTTATTGTTGGCGTTTGTATCAGGAAAGAGGGTTATATAGCTTTTCTTTATCAAACGTACATCTTTCCAGCAAAACCGAATTCATCGAATCATGCGCACGATCGGCGTACGATCAATGTATGGATCAGTGAACTTCAATGTGTAATTTTACATTTATCTCATTGCTTACAATTCCTTGTACTTCGTCTAGTAAATTAACATTCTAATTTTTTTATAATTAATACGTTACTTATTTTCTGGAACAAAGACGTGACAAGTTGATTAATACTGATGACTTAAAGAGTCTAAAATAACTAGTTTCAATCGTTTTTCCACTACAATTTTGTAGATTGAAGGGTTTCTAAGTTGAGTTTGATAAAATGTTTTTTTAAATGCCTTACTACATCAATTTTATTACAAGAAAATAAAAAAAAGTATATTATACAGGGTATGTAAAACTGTTCTAGTCTACTGAATATAATGTTAGATGAAATTATTCGTATTAATGACTTCCATTATTGTGCAAGTTTCTCTATAGTACGAAATGTTATGTGGAAGCTTTGAAATGCACCAATTTTATTATCATGAACAATACTTAATAATATAACAGTTATACCCGTGAATATTCATTTGATTCAGTATTATTATTCTTTCAGTTTGTCTGAAATTCATGATGTATTCTAAGATTGAGTACTTAATGAAATAAACAATAATTTATTTTGCTCAGGACAACTCATTTTCAGACAAGTTTCCAAACAATGTAGACATTTTACTATGATTTTCAACAAATATTCAATCACTTTTGTAATGATTTTGTTTCTTTGTTATAGTGTCTTATTTACTTAAAATGAAGTCATATTATGTTCAGGTGCAGGATATTTATACATAGTGTGATAGTAGTTATTCAATACTGATTACTAATTATCACAAACAAAAATTTACATAAACTTATAGAAGAGGTGGATATTAACTATCAGTGGATAAAGGGATATGTGTTTATTTCTATTTGAGACTAGGTAGTTGTATGTACTTGTATACCTTTTCGAGAATTCGTACTTGACTCAAACTCATTTCCTACTGAACTACTGAGTTCAAATGAATTCGGACTACTTCGTCAGGAATAAAGCATAGTTTTGCCGAAATCTGATTGATAGCCTCAAGTGAAGATTTTATGTATAAATCTTTTTTTTCTGTTTTTTTTCCTAAGAAATAACTTGAAAACGATATTTTTCAATGCCATTATGTACGCTATTGCAGAAAGTGTATTGTTGTTCGCAGTAGCTGCTGCGTATTCACTCGGTGCACACTTGGTTTCAACAAAAGCAATAACGGTTTTAGCAGTGTTCAGGTAAATTGTTTCATCTTCAATTCAGATCCGTTACCTTTATGGATATTAGAGTATTGAATGTAATTATTTCATGTTTTGTTGATTTTTACACTATAATTCAGCAGTGCACGAAGGAAGCGCAAAGTATCCCACTATTTAGTTATCACATTAGTTATCTTGTCATTGTGAGTTTCAACGAAATCAAGAAAGTATGCTCTTCATTCAACTGAATGAATGAAAAATGAGACTTGAGATATGAGTCATCCTAATGCATAACACTTGATGAATATTGGTCCTTATTCTAGTTTATGAGACTACTTGCTCACTAATTCACTGAAATATGTATACATGCTTAAATATCAACTCTAACTCCAACCGTTGGTTCGCTATTTTTAGCCAAGTGTTCACGTTGCCAAAAGGAGTTGGAAGATTATGGGTTATTCCTTTAATATCTGTGTACTTCATGATTCACATTCATTTAAAATAAAGAAAATTAACTGAGTAAGAGGCATGAACTCCTTAACTTTAGTTTATTGGTTGTTAATCTACTTCGCTAATAGTATCCTGAAGCCAGTAATAACTTAACGCCCAATTGAAAGGCATTATAACAGATTTATTTAGGTTCATTGCAGACTCATTTTAAAAAGAAACCAAGTTCTCTCAATTGTCTACATGTACCAGAATCCTCATACTTAAGTCTACGATATTATTTCATTACTTTAAAATGTTTGAGATCTGGTAGACTAGACCAGAGTACTAATCCACTTAAATTATTAGACGTATTAGAAACTTCATCGACAAAGTATTACAGCTTCTACGAATCACTCAACAGCGTTTAAGCTACTACTCAGCTAGAGATATATTTAATTAATTTTTAAGCAACGAAAGTGACCCCATTATACTATTGACGAGACGAAGAAAATTCGTCTGAAAATATTTCTTTCCGACTATAGTATTTACTGAATTATATTTGTGGTTATTTGCCGATAATAAAAAAAAAAGATCGGACCACAACGTATTTTTAAGTTTTCAGTATGTCAAAAAGGTTGCGAAGTAATGCAAATGTTAAAGGAACATCATAAATCACTAGTGAATGGAATTAATTCTAATGGACAAGGGAAATCCCACCATTTGAACACTTGTCCGTCTAATCAATCTTTGTTGTTCTGATATTTTCGATTTGCAAGCTTCTAAACACTGTTTGTAGTCTGTCGAACTCACTCTGATTTGTTCGACTGTGGTAATAAGAAGCCAAACACCGTTTGCGTTGAAAGAATTCATTTCAAGCATTCGTTTATCCAGGCGGATATTCAGAGTAGAAAGCGGAAAATTGAAGCAAAGCGGAGCGGAGAAAGCGAGTGGGCCAACTTATTTTAATAAAGCGTGACTCGATATTTGTAGTCAGACAAAATGTTACAGACACATAATGAATAGTGTGAGCAATTAACACATATGCGCTCGTATAAAAATAGTCAAGATTGATAAGCGAATAATTAACAAAGTCAAAATATGACTTGAAAAGAGTGAATAAGTCAGTCTGTAGCTAGAATAATCCATATGGTTTTGACATAGAACCAAACACCACACACTATGAAATATCATGCATGTAAATTGTGACATTTTAAAGCCAGAACCAAATATGATTAGAAATTTTGTAGGTTTCTAGTGTCTTTCTGTTATGAAATCAAAATGAATACTTTATCGAATAGTTACTCTTTAAAAAAAAATGTTAGAAACAAAATCTTTTGGATGCATCTTTTGTGAAAAAATTAAAATGAGTTATAATTACTAAAATAGTCTACTTTGAAATGTTAAACTGTTTAATACATATGATAAGATTTATAAACAATATGCTAATATTATATTGGACAGATATTAACAGGCCTAAATTTCACATGTTTGTGTAAATCTAAGAACCGTCACTGGTAATGATTCTGAGTAAATATATAGAAAATTACATTAGAGGTTGCTTTTAGTTTGAATACTAAAAGCTCCAATTAAGAGGTTTAATCATAATAATTTTCATCACGATCTATAATTATTGACCAGTACACTACCTACTGCGATAATATCACTAGCATTTATGTAGTATGTGTGGTTTTCAGAAAACTATACTGAACTAAATCTGAACATGAAGTTGGATAACCAAACACACATAGCTTCATTTAAAGATATTTTTGGAAAATGTGACATGAAATTTATTAACTTTAAGGTAACTTTTCATTTCTCCAGGTTTAAAATACCATAGAAAAACGTTGAAATTATACTGCGATACAAGGATGAAGTATAAATAGCATCACTAAACAATCATTAGGGTGGTATACAAAAAAAAATTAACTGAAATGTTTTGTATTTTATTTATGATCGCACACAATTCCTGTTCTACTGCTTTACCACCCGAAATCCTGGATAGTGTTTTAAAAATGTATATTCTAATACCGCAATCGAATTAGAATATTCCAATCACTTGGCAATTACCTAACTATGGTAAATATCAGTGAAAATGTGTCATAGTTTTCAGACGTTTTCCTTGTTAAATTCCATAAATATTTTATCAAGCATTTGTCTCAGAAACTCGATGCAATCACTTTGATTATATTATATTATGACATTTCAATTAAAAGGGTTTTCGTAACTATCCATTTGAGTGCTCAATCTCTTGGCCGTACAGCTACACTAGTTTTGGGTACTAAAGCAGCAGGTTCAGCTGCGAAATGTATTCTTGAAATTCTAGACAGGAAACCTCTAATTTCAACTAACATAGGGAGTGTACCACGTGAAAAATTCAAAGGGAAAATTTCGTTCAAGAACGTTAATTTCAAATATTTTTCTCAAACTGAGAGACGGGTTCTTAAGGTAAGTTAATGTTGTAAGTGAGGAACAATAATACAGTGTTACAGAAATTTATTTTCGTTCGGGTTGAATTTGTTCTAATCACTCTTCAGATGCTTTGAACATGTTTAGTTCAAACTAGATCATCATGTAAACAAAAGAGATAGGTATAAGATAAATTCGTAATTTTTGTTAAATGAAAATCTCAATCTACTAAAATGATATATCTTGCAAATACAACCATACTGAATGCAAACGAATTAATTTATTCACATTACAATAGAGTTAAGTAGCAAATCACTTAAAAACAATATTATAGAAATCTTTATATGTTAACGTAATTACTCTGCATCAAGACTGAATTAATATTCATAATAGGTTTAATTAATAATTTTAAAAGCTTTCTTAAGCGACTGAACCACTGATTCGAATTGTATGTGATGAAAATTCCAGTAATAAAATACAACTATTACTGAACTTGACATTACTACACTTTACACTAAACAATATGCTGTATTCAGAGAGACAGTATTTTTTGACAGTTTGCAAAACATCACCACCACCACCACAGAACACTGTTTTTGAGAGGATAATTATATCAGATGTCAATATTAGACACTGGTATAAATAACGAAATGATTCGAAGGGTTTACGTTCAATAGCGTCTCACTGTAAGCACTGATCAGATTATTGATTAGATCTGTATATACTTAAGACAACCAGTTTTTGATTTTCAAGATTATATGATCCTGTTTTCTAATAGCTATTTTTAATACACTTGTCGTCTACTTACCTAATGAGTTTTTGAAAATTTTCTGCATTTTCCAGAACTTTTCACACACTATTGAGCCAGGTCAAACAGTCGCATTAGTTGGACCTTCTGGTTGTGGAAAATCAACATTGCTTCAGTTAGTATTGAGATTCTACGATCCATCATATCACGGTCCCGATAGTGGTGTGTTTTTCGATGATATAAATATTAGAGATATTGCACCTAGTTGGGTTAGAAAACAGATTGGCCTTGTTTCACAAGAACCCACTTTATTCGATCTCACGATAAGAGAGAATATTGCGTATGGAGACAATAGTCGAGAAGTGACGATGGAAGAGATTATTGAGGCAGCACGTGCAGCTAACATCCATGATTTTATTACAACACTTCCAGAAGTAAGTGAAAAGATTTGTTTTGTTAAATTCATTAAAAATTACGCTATGGGTATATATTTTGATTGTATTGTCAGCCTTCATGTTATTCGAATATTTACGAATATTTTCAAATATATTAAATAACTGTTTGTAACTTCCACTGTTTTTAAGCAATATGAAACCAAAGTTGGACAACGTGGATCAAAGCTATCTGGAGGACAGAAACAGAGGATAGCCATTGCACGAGCTTTAGTTCGTAAACCTGTTTTACTTGTGTTGGACGAAGCCACCTCAGCTTTGGACAATGAGAGTGAGCGTATAGTTCAAGAAGCCCTTGATGCTGCTATGGGGTCGAGAACATCATTAGTTGTTGCTCATCGCTTGTCCACAGTCGTCAATGCTGATTTGGTAGTAGTTTTACGGGATGAACGAAAGATAGAATCAGGACCTCCAGCAGCACTGCTCGCTAAGAAAGGAGCTTTCTATGCTCTACACCACATGGAGAATTAAATCATCTCATCAAACTCATTCATCATTACACATCATTTTGATGGTGTTGATTTTGATATAAAATTATTTCAAATTTATTTCTTTTAAAACTGATGCTTGATAGGGAATGGGGTAAATTAAGTGTTGTGTGTTAGATTATTATTATTATATATATCTTAATTTTAAGCCGAAACTGCTGTTTACATTATGATTTTAATAAAATCAAGATTTTAGCAGTTTTCCCAATTCTTTTGAGTATGTTTTCAATTTTTATAATTTAAATCACAAACCTTTAATTGTCAGATCACTATTTGAAAATCCGAAAGAACTGGAGGGTCGTTTTGTCCTAATATAAGACTCTTCATTAGTTCTCATTAACAATTTGGTCTCCGAGATCTAAGTTTTGTTTACTATTTATATTCTCCTATACTTATAATAGACACATATTAGGACGACATGGATGTTCAATACTTCCAGGATTTCAACAATTGTCTAATAAAGGACATTTTGCAATTTAAACTCATATATTTTTAATTATCAGGAGCAATTTTATGACAAAAAATAAACATTTATCAATTTAGTCTCAACACGGTATATCAAACTGCACAGGTGCTTTTGAAAATACAAGTTCTGTACGATGCATTCTCTACAACCCTTATTTTACAGTTAATGTTAAACATACCAATGACAAATAGATATTTGTAGAATCTCTGGAGTTGAAGTTAAATGCTTGTAACGTTTTGCTGGTCAGTGGAACCTCAGCCTCAGTGAGATTATCAAAACTATCTGAAATAAATAAGGTCAAAAATAAATCTGGACTACACATCTGTTGGGACACACTGATTGTCGACATCTGTTCAGGTTATGAATTGAATGAATTCATTGTGAATTATTTTCAAACATTGATGCATAATGTTTTTGTCGGTGTGTGTATGCTACACTAATGAAATTCCACTGAACATTTGACGTCTTAGCTTATAGTCAGGATAGTACTCGACTTTCTTGTCATGATGAAACTACGCTTCCGACTTAGGTAGTTATGTTGTGATATCCCATCGTTTTTACAGATGGCAAAGAGAAGGCAATAGCTTTGAGAAGATTCACAACATAGGGACATAAATAAAATCAGAAGTGTAAGCGAAAATTTTTGCGACCCAAATGCTTTCTCTAAGTGAAGTATACCTTGCTTACCAACCATAACATTTTACTGCCTAAATTTATTTTTATGATGGGTAAGTTAATTAACATCACAAACTGTCTCTAAAATGGCCTGTTTTTGAATCGTATCTTAAATTCCAATGTAAATGTAAGTCTTTCCAGGACTCGAGTCCTAGAGTGAATCATTGCTCGCAAAAAGCTTGTGAATTGAGGCAATATCGAGGTAATACGCACAGTATGCACATATACCGATAACAGACTGATCAATTGCAGTCTCAAATCTCAATGAGAAGATACAAGCCAAATAATACCAAGTGAATTTAATAACAATTCATATTTAATATTATACAATTTCATTTATAGCTATGTATATATTTTTAACAAGTATATAATTACAACAAAAAGTAATGAAATATAATAAATAATTAAATAGTATAATTAATTACCCAAGAAAAAGGGTATTTTAAATCATATAAGTTATTAGTTAAAATAAAAATTCAAAGTGATTAACTCGGTATATACTTTTTATTTATTATTTAATTCACTTCAATATTCATTATAATTTCAATTTAGAAAATGATAACTATTAACTAACTTGCTTTTTTTAATTATATTAATTTATTATTATTCGACTTTTTGTTTCCTTGTTGATTTCATTAAATTATATAACTCATTATTATTACTTATTATTATCATAAATCATATACTTTTGTATTGATAATATAAATTTGATATGTTTTATGTGTTTAAACTATTATAATCATTTTACAAACTCTTTTTTTTTCTATTCATCATTATAAAATATATTACTTTAATCATGTTAATTACAATTTAACTAGATGTTACATGAATAAATTAGTTATAGTAAATTAATAGGAGTTAATGCACCAATAAATTAGTTGTTAATGGATTATTTATTTGTGAATTTTCAACAGAAAAAAATACAAGAAAAAAAGCCTATCCCTAAAGGATGTTTATCAATGAAAGTGAAATATATATATATATATATATATATATATATATATATATATATATATATATATATATATATATATATATATATATATATATATATATATATATATATACATTTATTTGTTTATTATGGTCGTTTTAGATTGGATGAATTATTACCAATCATTTGAAATAAGGATGATTTTTATTTAATTTATCAATCAAAATTGTATACGATTGATTTCATTTAAAAATACAAAAAAGGATAATGGTTATTTATTTATTTCCTTTTTTTTCCGTACCGATTCACGTCACTCACATTGAATCATTTGCATAAACAGTTGTTTTTTTTTTCTTTCTTAGATTTTTCATTATTCCACTGATTATCATGATTTTTTTTCTCATGATTGTTTTCATTAAAATATTTTGAAAAAAATTGCATTCATAATATAGTTTTGTTTATTCTATATATGAAATTCAGGACAAATTGTTTTGGTATATGATTATAGATGTTTGCCTTGTAATCAATTAATATGTTCTTATTAATTCGTCAATTTGTATAAAATATATGGAATAACCTATAGAAATTATACTTTGATCTTCGTTTAGTAATTGAAAACGTATTTATAGAGATTATGAACTAATCTAATAAGATAATTATGAAAAACTTGATCGTGCATTAATGAACTGTTTTATTCTAGTATAAAACTATCTAACAATACTAAATCACTATCTTATCAAGGGTCTAATCAGCCGTCTAACATTTCCAAATTTTTAATGGTTGTTTAATTTAGTTCGGTTTATGATCTCAACAACCTCAATCGAACAAAGAATATACTGTTATTTGTTTGAAAAAACCATAAACAAATTGAGTTTTGTATGGTTGAGAAAGAACTTGGTAATGTTTACATTTTAGAGTGGAAGAAATTATATATTCAGAAACTAAATTGTTTGTTTCTATGGTTTATTGTACTTATGAAATATATGTTTCGTTATCAGATTATTTTGTCTAAAAGTGTCTTCTGGTATCAGTCTACTAAATACTTATCAATAGATGCTCAAGCAATGGTCACACAAACACTGGAATAAATGACATTCTGTGAATCAGTTCTCATTACTCTACGAAATGTTCCGTTCACTTTAAAAGAAATATTTATCTTTGCTTATTTGAATTGATATGAAAATTTGTTAAATGATTCGGTAATTTATTCCATATTGATGGCTTTCAGCGATCTTAAAAGTCAGAAAGTAATGAAGTAATACGCAGATTTTATGGAGTTTTAAACTTAAATAGCATGATAAAATAACAGTAGATTAATAGTTTTAACTTGATACATTAAGCGGACAATCATGGTACCGTGACCCAACTAAACCTTAACTCCTAACATCAGACTTAACCTTTAGCTCATGGATCTAACACTTAATTTGAATACTCCTAAATTTAATATCCTGACCATTAAAAATTACTACACAAGAAAATAATCATTTAACCTTTACAAAATACAAGGTTTGGTCAAAATCAGGGTATCCAGCAACGATCCGTGATAGCGTTTTAAATTCATGTTTATATTTAACACTGGATATATTGATTTTGATTGGTTTCTCGAGGTATAGTTTTACTGATAACTCTTATCAGACATTATTTCTGATAAACTCTTTTCCCATGAGTTAATTGAAGTATTTTATTATACTAATTATGTTAACTTAAAATCAATCTTATAGAAAATCTCCGACACTTTCTGCTCAATTCTAAAAGAATATCATAAAATCGTTTTAAGTCGATCATAGACTGGAACACCGTATTTAATCCATTTATTATTTCGATGACAACTAATTTTATGGTCAATTAACTTATTCCTTTATTAAATAATTCGATGACAATGGTATATTTATGAGACTTGTAAGAGATTTTTTTGACTGGTTGATATCGAGTAAACTGCTGAATAATTGGTAAGTTGCTTTAAACGTTTACTATTCATATATATTGAGTGTTAAAACTTTTTACAATGTATGTTGTCGTGACAAGCGGTGTCCGAAATCCGATACTGATGCACGACATGCTATACGTTAGCCCCCTCCCCCAGAAAAAAACTGACTACTTGAGCGAGAAAGTATGTTGGGGTACCGAATAAAAATGCAGAAACACTCATTCATACCACTCTAATTCCTCAGAAATTGATCCGTTTCTTAGCCAATGAAATGCATTTGTCCTTTAGGGTACTTTGATTGCCGTTGATTTACCTCATTGGGCTACCTCTGATTGGCTCTTCATATGATATATTCCTTTCCTTGTCTTAAAAATAGGTTAGTGTTACTGAATTATTTTTTCTGTTTTTTTAAAAACAGTCTTCCAGGGTACTCATTCACAGATGTACCTTTTATTCAAGGTATTAAGATGAAGTTTTGTGTGCAGTTAAAATTCTATGTTTCGCTTTGATTTTCATAACTATTTTTTCACTAAGGTACTATCAGTATATCGACAAACATGATATTATTTTCGAACCTTAAAACCAACGAATATCGTTACTATATATAATGATAACGCGGAAAACAAAAAAACCCCGATAATTGACGCGGTATTTTCAAGGTTGTTAACTGTAAAGCGAAACAACCAAACAGAAACTGTTTTGAAGGATCTAAGATATAAATATATGAAATCGTTACTGAAAGATAAAAACATGACTACTTGATATATAGTGTGACAGATTGATTTTAGAAATGTTGTCTGTAGAATTCTTACCAAATCTCATATAATCGTAAGTTATGGTTTAAACAGTATTAGTTTGTGATTAGGCTAATCTTGTTGATATCATGAAAAATGAGGACTTAAATATTTTATCTGCTGGATTCCTAAACTTGCTGTACAATATATTTTAAATTCATCATTCATAAACCCAATACTGTTCGTCGAATTCACCGATAAACAGCTACTGAAAATATTTAAGAATCGTTTTCTGTGTCTAAATAGTGTGAAATGATGTTCAAATATGTGACTATTAAATCTTACACAAGTTTACTACT